TTATAGCCTTTTACTATCCACTTTCTGACAGCAAGTTTTATTATAAAACCACACCTCAATTGAGAACAGTTGGATGAATAACTTAGAGCTGAATGTAGAGTACAGACTTTAAAAAAGAAAACTACACTCCTCAGTACTAAAATGGACTAGAGGAGGTCATTTCTATTGATCTTTTAATTAACCATTAAGGAAAATATATAAAAAAACATGCTTACTTTATGTATTAGAAATAAAGTACAGGTGCTGTGTGTTGACAATATAAACAGAAGGAAAAATCAGTTAGTGTAATTCTACAGCATCTCAATTAGAAATCAAATCTTAATCTTCAGTAGCTGCATTGTACAGTATAATAATATTATACATCTGTACAGGTCATTAATTCCCTGCAATCTTAACTTGTGTGAGAAAAATATTATTTTGCAATACATCATGCAAGATTCCATCTTCATGAATGATCCCTTCATTAGTTCACATGAAAACTGATAGTCATCAATTTGTCTTAGGCAAACTACATTTTTAAAGAGAAGATTGTAGAAGTCATTCGGCATCATGACTTCGCAGTTATAGTAATTTGCACTCAACATCTATGTTGATCACATTTTAGAATTATAAAGAATTATTAATTACAAAGAGTTATAACTGAGTGTATTTTTGGCAGTTAATACTATGGTATAACCCATATTTCTGAAAATATAGTGCAAAGTAAATACAGTATACAGTACAAAACTGCAGCACTGTAATTAGAGGTAACCATGAGATGAAAATTCAGATTTACATTATGAGACACCTCAGCCTTTTTGGTTTTCATAACTATTTAAATATTATTTAATTGTTAAAAAATGCTCATGAAAAGTCAGGAGTATCTTATTAAAAGCATTGTTTTCTAATTCTGTACACCTGTATTTTGACAATTGTGATCTCATGAACAATGCTCTGCTTTCCTTTAAAACGACGACAGCAAATTGTGATCAACACAGCAGAATTGTAGGTGGTGAATAGTTAGTTTTCTACTGAGATCTTTAGACAGATTCTACTTATGTACTATTCATTGCATGGCCTTTCAGCTGCTATTGATTTAAGGTCATTCCTAACATTTCATTGTCATCCATACGAACGTTGATATTTCTCTATTCAGTTTGTTGCTTCAACTTGCCCTGAAATTTACTTCCTGGAAGTGTGCACAGTAGGGGGAGCTCAAAGCTATTAAAGAATTACCATGGCCTACAAGAGAACTGCACACATCATTAGCTTTGATCTTACTGGCTGTGTAAGTACAACTGTTACTCCAGTCTTTTTCAATTACTTAAAACTTTTTAATTTCATTAAATTGTATGTAAACTATTATTTATGGTATGGTGTTTGCGATCAGTGTTTATGTTACACGTTGTTGTATATTAAATGGTACATTATATTATTTCTCCTCTGGAAAACTTTTTCCCATTTTGGAAACTTATGCAAGAATTCATTAGGAATTTAGTAGAGGTTAAAATTATTAAGCATATTTAATTTCTTTTATGTACGTGATCTAGCATTTTTTAAGATGCCTGTGACTGTGTGTCAGGCACACCTCCAGCAGATAAGCAATTTTTCATGAATATGATGACTGAAACATAATCAAAAGGGCAACAGCTTTAACAGAGATGTGAGAAGTCTACTTAAAAGTCACTACTAAAACTACCTCAACAACAGTGTAACTCAATTTGAGTTATTGCAAAATTAAAATGGACAGGTGTGTTTATTATTATAGATGTATATTCTTTATTAGAGATGGGGTTTCACTGTTTGTTGACACATATAGTACTGGAATGAAAAATGCAATGTTCAAGATAAAACAGACATATTTTCAGTAGGCAGAGAATTTCTGAAAAAAAAAAACTTCCGATATTTAACCTACCCAAAATATCAAAATAGAATTTCCTTGTGAGATTGTTTTAATGTAATGCAACATTCAAAAACATGTATTTTTTCATGAGCTCCTCTCCTATAAATGAAAGAAAGATGACCAAATCAATCTACTGTACATATTCTTTGTCACTAGCTGATATCTTATAAACTAATATGAACCTTTCAAATTTAGTATACTATATTGTACAAGTAGACACACTATGGCTAATCTTTATGTTATAATTCATAGAAATACCTTTTCTCAACCTGTAAAGTGCAGACAATATTCAAGCTGTTATGACAGAAGTACCCAGCTTAGTCTAGCTTATTTTTCCTCAGGTTGTGTATCTGTATAGTGACCTATGTCAAAAAAGACATTTATTGCAAGGCATATGCTTTAAGCTTTCAAAAATGCAGTTTACACATGTTGCTGAATGCCATCCCCAGTTTATGAAATAATTAAAAGAAAAGAAGAATAAACTCTTCACAATCTCCATATCCGTGTACAGTAAATAACCCTGATAAAAGGTGCCAATCATTTCATCCAATTAAACAATTAAACAACTAACTACATACAGTATATGTAAAGTATGCAGTTTTAAATAATGTTTATGTTTCAGTAGTTAAGAGATACTGTACATTAGCTTTCCTAATTTAAGTTTTAAATCTCCTACAAAAGAGTTTATGAGAATTATAAATGTGTGACCTGATTCTATTAGCTAAAACACAAAGTAAAAGCGTCATGTGATGTTAAATTAATTATTGAAATTCTGTTTATTCTGCCATTAGCCAATTAGATTCTTAATCATTGTTTACGAATTCAGCATAAAGAACTTTAATTAGTAAATGTATTATATATGAATATAAATTACATATTATACTCATTTATTACTTATTAATTCAAATACAATTCAAATGGAGTATTATTACATTGTAATATACTATAGTGTAATGATACCTACAGTATACACCATTAATTACTACAGTCCACCAGAAGAAGGTGTGAAAGATTATCATGTAACAGTCTTACCAATATGGTGGCAGGAACAGTGTGCTGTTTGAAATGCACCATACATTCATTATATCTTGATTGTAAAATATACCATTAAACACTGCATATAAAATAAACTGTTTGAAAATGTAGTATGACAGAAGCAACATGCATGAACTATTGGCTTGTTCAAAAGTTCCACCCCCCTTTAAAAAAATGTAACTGTTGATATGCTTAACTGCAATCTTACCTCAATTACTCCTATGAAATTATCACTCTTTCTAAAAGATGATTTCCTGCTCAGTCTGAGGCCTGCCTACTAAATGAGACAAGAGAGCTATGTGAATATCTGGACAAGTCAACAGCTGACTGCCCAGCTCATGAAAATAGGCTAACACAGTGGGCAGAGAAGAAGTGTAACTGAATTACCATGGCTTCAAGGAAGGAGATAAAATATTATAATCATCTATACTCAATTATTCCTCAGAAAGGAAGTATATTATTCTATGAAATACATTTTTAGCAAGGTCAATACTTCACTTACATTATTCACGTTATTTGCAGACTATAATAAACTTACACAGAAAAATGGGTAGCTACATGAAAAAAAAAAAGCGTCAATCATTTTAAAGTTCAGGGCTAATCCTATCCTAACTAGCACTGAACTGCTGTGAAGATGATTTCAGTACCACATCAGACTTTACCGTATCGATCAAGAAAACAGCTAATAAAGGTGTGAAGAAGGCTGGAAGTAAGGAAAACACAAAAGGCTATGTCCACACAGGGAAATGGTCAAACAAAAAATGTTCAAAAGGAGCACAAAACCAGAAGAGATCAAAAAGAGAAATGTGGGAAATGGTATACTGTACATATAATGAGCAAAATTAGTGTTTCAAGATTCTTCAGAACATAAACATTAAAAAATGCTCTTTGCACAAAAATTAATGATTACATGTCTAAAAGATATATTAAACCAGGCTTGAATGCTTTCGGCTCTAGAAGAATACAACGTGTGAAAAGAAAGCGAAGAGAGACTGGCAGAAGGTTGTGAATAACATGGAGGTGATAAGTTGTACTAACAGGTATAATAAATAGAGCTACATTTTTGAAGTACAGTATCAATGTAACTCCATTCTTTACCATCATGTGATAACCCCTGGAAGGTGACCTGAAGATGAAAACCTTGTTGTTTTAGCATGATAATTGTGCTGAACTCCGAGCCTGAGTAAATGTAAATTACTTCAATCAGAAATGCAACTAACATGTTTTCAAATTGATGCATGGCCTCCCTCGTGGCTTGATCTTAACCCCATTGAAATGTGATGGAACAACTTGAAAGGAGAAGGAAAATTAAGACTGCAGACAACAGAAAATAAGATCTGGGAGATGATGAGGGCTAAATCTGAAAAATAGGAGAAATACACTACTAATGCTGGGTGAAAGAAATCCTAGAGCTTGTGCTACTTCAAGTGCAAGCCAATGAGGATATTTTAATGGGAAAAATTTGCAACAGAGAAAAAAAACAATACACCTTCTTCATTTAAGAAGCTTAGTTACTTCTTAACTAGTTCAATTGTAAACCAGTCTTCCTTATCTTTTCTATTTCAGGACAATTTCCAGATGTTCCATAATTTTGACTACAAGTGTGTTTAATATACTGTATATTTTATATAGCACATATTCCAAACATCTGTCTTCAACAATGTGCTAATTTTTGCAACATGGTGTACTGGAATCTAGAATTAGATAGCATTTTTATAGTATTCTATGAAAGGCTTCATGCAGAGTCTTATGACATACGATACAACAAAAATATGTTAATAACCATACAACATGCCTCTATAGGACAAAAATACTGTATAACATGCAAAGTATTGAAAATTAGATCTTATTATTACTTGCAAGAGGTCCTCTAGTGGTAGAATATAATTCATATTTATAGTTTCTATCATTTATTTTTTTCTATTTAGCACATAACAGAAAACATGAATACCTTTCAATCATACCCTCTACCAACAGAAAGAAAATAAATTAACAAGGACGATATTTGTAAATTATTTTATTTTGTAATTTCTGTTTCTGTAAAAAAATACAAAAACAAAGCATATGAAAGATAACTTTTGTATAAATAAATTTATTTAAAAAGAAAAATGATTTTTTTCACAGAATTGGTTCATAGTGTTTAATAGAATGGAGCTGATATGGAAGTATACAAGCACAAAAACATCTGCCACTCAATTCAGAACTGCCAGTAAATTCTAAACTGATATTCAATATTATTAATGCAACATAAATGGAACTCTATAATGGTAAAAATTAGTCTGATTACAGTAACGAAATAAATTATTTTCATAAGTAAAAGGCCATTTGTTATCTATGTTTGTGTGACAAAACAGTTGCTTTTATTTAGAAAATATATATATTTTTAAATGAGTGTGATTACTTTTGTTTATATGAACTATTAAAAAAGTTGTAGAATTTTGTTTGGATGCTTTTCAGGAATAAAGCCTACCCATTCATATCACTTATTTTTGCGTCCTGTTCTAATTTTTCTGTTTTTAAATTGCAGGAATGAGTTTAATGAAAATAAGCCTTCTAATGTTACCACTGAAAAGGGAAGAACTACTCAATGCAGTGAGTATTAGATCCATTTTGTTCTTTTTTTTTGCATTACATTTTTGCTTTATCATAGCAAAAATTGAGCTGTTGCTAGTATGGTGGGCATTTTCTTTCCTGGCCCTTGTGATGCAGCAATCTCTACAGTCAGATTTCAGGACAATCAATCAATTTTCAAAATCAATTTGCTCAAACATGTAAAGGAGGTTGGTTATATGTGGGCTGTTACTTAAAATAACATTTATCTCTCTTACAAACTTCAGCCATTTCACTATGTAATGTTGTCTCCACATTTTCAGTATTCGTTGTAATTCATAGATGTAGTGCTTATTTCAAATGTAGAATAGACAATAGAAAAAATAGTTGAAAGTGCAATGCTTTTAATTAGCATATATTTTCAAAAAAGAGCAATATGGTACAATCACAGCAGTGAGTTTAACATAAATACAAAAAAGCTGTAATCCTAAAAAATTCTGATCACATTTAAAAAATAAATGTCATAAGCGAGAGAGTTTAAATAATAAAAAAATATAAAAATACTATACTTAATTTTCCACGTTGCTAAGTAGAGACTACAATGTCCTTGACAGTACAGTCATAATAGAAATAAATGTTTTAATTATAATCTGTCTGGTTACTTAATAAATGGACCACAGCATCAAGTTTAAATATATCTGCATAATTGCCCACAATATAAAGAAACCAGGCAGCCCGGCACTTTAGGATCATTGGCTTCAAGTTCCTTGAAGTCGCTGAAGATGTACTCTCCTCGACTACGCGTATTCTTAAGCAATAACAACGTAATCCGTATTATCCACCCAAGAATACCCGTCACCGAAGAGAGTCTTAAAGAAGGAAGCAATATGAGAATCTAAAGATACTGCATGATCCTCAACCATTTGGAAACAGAGAAGTTTTGAACAGATTGATTGAAGAAGCCTTGTATCACAAGGCTAGGCCCCATCAATGGCTTTTCTGCAAACAGAAATTAACACATGGCATTTTGAAGTGGAACTAAAATGTTGTAACAAGAATCCAGTCTCTCTTTTTTTTTGTTCTAGAAAATACGCCAAATACATAACATCAGGCAAATTAACAAACAATAGATTTAGGGTAACGAAAACCCCAGAATATGCGCTTACCTGAGGTTTCCAATTTTAATAATTCCTTTTTCGCTGTGGTCCTTTTTCCATCCATCTGATTTCCATCACTCCAACCCTCAGTTGCAGTGGCTCTCCAGTTACACTGGCAGCTATCCAAGAGTAATGAGGATTCCTGTAAAAGTGGCAAATGGTTAGGGTTCACTATGAAAACCATGGCCTTTCAAGCCTGCTTTAACATGACTATTGTCTACGCCTTTAATAGGCAAGTGGCCCCCAAAAAATGTCATACAAAAATTAAACTCCATTAACGGCAGGTGGCAAATTACAGTTTTTAAAGAAAGAAATCTGAAAGGAAGCCTGTCGGTATGGAATCACAATGTATATTATTATGTCTTTCATTTTATTCTTCAAAATTTAACAATGAACGTATCTTTTGAGTAGGTTCTGATAATTTATCATTTGTTTTCTTTATATGATTTCTGCAGTTAATACTTTATACAGTACAGTATGTAGTACATTATTAAAATAAATATATTGTTATCACAATGCTACAATTCAGGTCTATACATTTGTAATTATTTGTAAATTCTTCTGTAATTTTAAACATATTATGCTTTTTTATCCCCAAGTTTAGGTTTATCGCCCTTTTCAACAAATTTCACAATTATCCCATTTATTTTGCATCTCATTTGGGGTCTTGGCCTTAAAAGTATAAGATAATAAAAGTAAAGTAAAACACCTCATTATTCATGGCATAATACATCTATGTTATACTGTACAAAGAATCCAAAACTGGCAATATAATATCCATTGAAATAGGTATCAAAACAACTTTTAAAACATTTTTATATAGTAAAAATTCTAAATTCAAAGATAATAGCAAATGAAAGCAAAATGTGATGAAAAAGCAAACTGAAGCTCCATAATTTAGAAAGCTATATTATGACAAGTGCATCCAGAGAAAGAATATGATTAATCTCCACCTTACAGAAATATCTAAATCCAAGTAAAGAAAATAAATGTATTTTCTTGTTACATTTTATTGTGTAAATGTCCATTTTAGTTCTCTTGTGTGAAGATATACTGTATGCAATATGCATAGATCAGTAAAGCATATATATATAATATATAATATTAATGTTCGGGCATTTTGTTGGGAATTTTAATATTTCTATTTAAATGGTTTTGGTGCTGAAAGTCATCATAAATTATAGTGTCAGTCATTAGAAGAAGCAATATTAAAATCTCCTCCTGCTTTAGTGCATACAGTGCATGTCAAATGATACTCCTGAAAAATTCAGCTTAACAGAAGTAATTATTTTCCAGCTTTAGCAAAAGTCTTAAAAAGCAACAAATACATATAAAAAGGTTGAAAAACCTAAGCACACTGACAAATATACACATCAAATATACAAATGTATAGCAACACAGCTTTTTTTTTTTATAAAAAAGAAGTATACAGCTGATGTCTGTAGGTACATATATGCTGAAGATACAGTACATAAATGCATACACACAGAGCTACACCTCTGAATAAAAACTTAAATATAAAGATAAATGTGAAATATACTCCAAATCAAGACAGGAGAGCTGCAAAAACAAAGCATCCACGCTGACAGAAAATGAAAATCATGTCAGTGATATTACATACAAACTAATGCCTTTTTATAGCCTATTTAAGCAGAAAAATTAAATATTTAGTAAAACCAAGCTTACCAACACCGAGTCCCAATTTGATCACCATGCAGAGTGGACTGTTCATTCCTAAGAGGCACGCTCAGGCACAGCAGCTGTACTGGAGCACTGAGTACAACAAAAGCTCTAGTGCATCACTGCTAAACCAGACTGAACTACTTACTATAACAGCATTTCCTATGAGACCACTACCTCCGAGTGCATAGACATACCCCCTTCAGGCTGTGGTATCTCCTCAAAAATTACTGTCAATGATACTAATAATCAAGACAAACTAACTCTTACTTTAGGATTGCATGAATATACATACACAGCATAAATATATATATAATAGTTTTGTGCTAGTAAATTGTATATTTTGATAATGCACAACTAATCAATTCTCCTTGTCTGGATATGCTGTATATTATATAAAGCAGTAAAGTTCTTTTTAGACATACAATCTTAAAATTCACATTCTTACCACTTGCATTGAAATTTACCTGGTTTGGCTGTGTGTATCACGTTTAATATAATGCCAGTAAAAAAAAAAGAGAAGAAAAAAATCTATGCTGTATTGTTTCTGTTGAACATCTCTGAATGAATCTATAGCTTCTCTCTTATCCCTGTCCCCCTTTCATTCTGAAATCTCTCTGGCGTGTTTATTTAAACAGCACATAAAACTTGTGTTCGCAAAACCTGTGATTGCCATTTAATTGCAGGAATTCCATGAATATGTTAATATAGTACACTGGACAAATCCTGAGAAATCCTCTGTGAAGCAACATGACAATGACATGATTACAGAAATCGGCATTATACTATCTGCTGCCCTGAAGACAGAAACATACATTTTTAATATTATTATTTTAGAAAGGAAAAGAGGAAAAATTCACAAATCCACATCTACTGAAGCAGCTTACCCTTTCAATCCAGGTTTAAAAGAAACCTCCCACTGTGCACAAAACCAGGGTGTCGTCTGATGTTTGACTGTGATATGCCTTGGATTATAAGGTTGCCTTGCCTCGGTCCACAGTTGATTTATATGGGTTACTGTGCTAATGAACCCAGAGAAAGATACCGGTGCAGTGTGCAGGCGTTGCCCATATGCCCTGAGCACAACAGTGGATGCAGCTCCCAACACAGTCCTGGGCAATCAGCTTCTGAATCTGCAGGTAGATGCTGCTACACAGATTTTCAACAAAAGGATCAAAATGGCTTGCTCTGAGCCAGTTGTTGCTTGCCACCACAAATAAACTTAGAGAAAAAAAAACAACAAAAAGTGAAGCGAAAAAATCAACAGCTACAAGGCTAGCTCTGCACAGGACTGTCTTTTGCTCACAGAAAGAGAAAGAATAATTAGATTTGAGCAGCACACACAGTTACAAAAACCAGTGAGTCGTGGATCCCAAGCAGGCTAATGGTGGATTAATTGAGGAAGATCTGACGTGCATGTTTCATAGTCTTGTATTCATGACTTCCCATTGGGGAAAGGCCAATGCCTTATGGGACCATTGTTAATATACAATCAAAAAGCTGCTATCATGAAAATGGTTATGTGTTCATAGCCTCTGTCCCTGATCACCGACATATGTTGACTGAAGCTGTTTAGTTGGTTGTAAAAAATGCAATTTTCTCTCAGAGTCGTAAAGACCCCCATTACCTCTCCTTATAAAAAAAAAAGTAAAATGTGACATGCTGTCTTGAGCTACTGTGCAGTGTGGTTAAAGACAATTTTGGTATCAAGGCATTTCACATGGAAAGCAAAAGTAAGGAAAATTCCTTTGTGTTCTGTTCTGTCCTCCGCTTTCAGGAGAGACTAGAGAATTTTCTTTGAAAAACCAAATGCACCTAATTTCTTTCAGGCTGATGCAAGGTCGTTTTAATGCCAACAACCCTTTTAACTTTCCGCAATGGGAATGACTTTTGAAGCTGACATTTTCAATTACTAAGACCTAAAATGATTTGAAGAAAAAATTGAATTTTTTAGGTAATGGTCTGCAGAATTGTTGTCTTAAGATCAGGGACCATTCTCGGTAGCTCATAAAAATGAATCTTTAAAAAGATCAGTTTTTCTTTGAAGAATTTGATTTTGAGCTTGCTGTGGAATTAAATGTGCTCTAAAAATAGTCATATGTATATGCATACATTACCTTTCAGTGATCAGTGTTTAAAACTGAGTTTTAGCAATTAATATTTTTATGTAAAACTTACACTATCTTTACTTCAATGTAAGGCACAGGAGGAGAGCACACAATAAGACTAAATTATATAACACAAAGAAGATTTAAACACAAATAGTAACATTTTTATGATATAAATAAAAATATATAAATCACTGCAGAATACTATATTGTCCAAAAATAATGTTTTATTATAAAATATAGTGTTTAGTGTTATCATTCCAATTTTACTATTGCAATATTTGTACGTGCTGCATGGTCATATTTCTGAAGTGGCAGTGTTACAGATGGTGTGGCTTTAGTTTAAATAAATCATTCTGTTATTTAATAAAGCTTCCTGAAGCTATACCTGTTAGTGTCTTATGAGAACAAATAAAATCCAAGCTGTTTATCTTTAAAACGAAAATAATTTTCTTCCATTTACTATCTGTATTTATTTTAAGTAATATTTGTTTCAAGCTATGAGAAAGACTGATAAATGTATAGGTAAAATCATTTGAAGTATGATTATTTTTTATGATAAATTACAAATAAAGCCTTTCCCAATTGCAGACTGCCGATATAAAACAAAAGAAAGAAGAGTTCTGCCTTCCTTCAGATTTACAGCAATTTACTGCCCCCTATTGACATTTTTTTCTTTTATTTTTTGCAATTGAGGCATTGTTTTAAGCACTGCATATTTCAATTGCACTGTACAGAGGGGTAAGTGGTAGCATCTTTGCCTAAAAATACATTTATGTAGCTGAATATATTGCCTTATATATAATCTGAAATTCATAAAATATTAAGAATTGCAGTTACTGAGTTATTTTAGTCTTTTACTTTACATCAGCGCCAAAGATTACTCAGATAATTAGACTGCATATTCCTGTTACATTTTGAGTTTATCAAAGGTATTGCATGAAATCAATAAATGTAATATGATATGAGATCAAATAATTGAAGTCATCACCTACTTTCTTAGCCAAATATACCATCCTCACTCAAATTGTTACTTAAAATAGCTTTTTTGGTGTGCAAAGCATCTGTATTTCCTGGTAAACATAAGGCTAAATCATATTCCTTTGTTGGCACTTTGTTTTGCATTCTGTGCAGTAATTGAGTTTGACATTTGAAATTGGAATGACTGAGATGCATTAGCTGGTCTTTTTTTGGGTGAGTGGGGTGAATTATGGTTAAAAAATTATGTTCTGAATAGAGTAACCCTAAATATTCCAAAAGTCCAGCTAGTGTACATGACATGCAGTAATCTAATCATTGAATTAAATAACCAATTGAAGTAACAGTGGAATGTATCGATCAATAAGCCGTGCTAAATATTGAATGGCTGTTCAGTTTGTCCGAGCATTCTAGTAACATCCACCAGGACCAGGCAGATTTAGAAAACATGAGAGAAAAAGAGGCTGACAGCTGTAGGACTGATTCCTGCTCAATACATGCATATTAAGAATAAAATAAAAAAGTAAAGTAAGGCAAAGAAGGGATAAACTGCAGAATATGATGCAGAAAAAAGTCATTTTCATGCCATTATCATTTCATGCCATTGCTAACTGTACTGTATTCCTATGGTTCTGTGTCTACATGGTGTAGTCGTTCAAGTCAAAAGCTTTACTTCATTAGCACTTATAATGCGGTTTTTATACATCCTACAAGAGTGTCATAAATGAGGCATTCCATGAAAAAAAAAATTAACTGAAGTTTTAGTTCTGAGTTTCTGAGTTTATTCGCCATATGAGTTTTGAGAATTTGATAGAAACCTCTGCATTTTACTGTTGAATCTGTAAAGGAATACAACCACACAGTATACCATAAAGAGTCACAGATAACGTAGAAACAACAGAATGAGCATCACAATATTTCTTTTGATTTGTTTTGCACGACAAGTAATATTTAATTAGATAGATTAGATAGATACTTTATTGATCCCGTGAGGGAAATTGCAGTGCAACAGCAGCTTAACACACACAACACAGCCACAGTGTTACATACACATACACAGCCACAAATTACATACATGTTTAGCAAGCAACATTAAAAATCAGTTCATAAATGAAAATAAGATTCAAACAGCATGAGTACCCAAAAAACATTTTGCTTGAGCTGCATTCTGTATGTTATGACCCACGATGTGTGATTCGTAGTTTTAGCAATACCTGTGAGGTACATTATTTAATAGACAACAGAATATATATGACCAGTAGTATTACTGTAATAGTCAGCAACAGCCAATTAGAAAAACAAAAACACTAAAAGGCTCATACATGGATGTATGTTTGCAGATAACCTGGTTTGCTGTGCAAAGAGAATTGGTTATTGAACTGGTCTTTCAGCAGGCAATACACTGCACTCTTGAGCTCAGACAGGACGCTAGGGCCCTCTGGCTGTCAGGCAAGAAGTAGCACAAGAACAATAGATTGCAACACACAGGAACTCCTCTTAACCTTTGACTGCTTGAATGCTACAATTTATTACATGTGAAAAGTGAATTTGTACAATTGTTAAATTGTTTTTAACTGTGAACGTATAGCAGAAGGCAGTACAGACACATCCGTGTTTGTTATCTCTTTTTGACATATCATTAAAAAAGAGGAAGGCATTTCAACCTGAAGGTGCAAATGAACATTTCTCGGAGCTTTGGTACTGTATATACGGTATATAAATCAGTAATTTATATTTATGTTTGATGAAAATGCAACATTTTGCATCAACAGAACACACACATACAGTAAAGTTGTTCACATTTTAAAAAGGGAACAGATAGATTTGCTGATTATTTGTGTAGCATTGCTTTACTGGATACCAACATATTAAGCTGAAGTCATGTGATGTTAGAAAAACCCAACATATTTGAAACTTGAGCTTACATTGTCATCATGAGGTGAACAGTAACCTGTCGTTTATAACAGTCATTCAAAAAGACTACGGTTTTAATTAACTCAAGAATAGCAAACGTTTTGACCCCCATCAGGCTTGATTAATGAAGATCTCATGGTTGCTGTGATCACCGTGAGTGAAGGTGGCCTGTCTGTAAGAGAATTTGCCTGGAGCATCAGATGTTCTGCTTCAACAATCAGCAGACAGTCCAGAGAAACCAGGAAACAGTTTATATGAGGGACAAGTCATATAATGGAAGGAAGGGGGGTCACCACACTTGTCCAGTACCATCACATTCCCATCTGCTCTATACTTACAATTGTTTTGAGACTGCAGTGGATTCAGCTTGAGAATTTCCAGGAAAAAAATAACAATCACTTAAGCAGAATGACTCTAATTTGTCATGTGTATGAAAAAGCAATGCATGCTCAGAGGCCATTCAGGTGTAACATGTTGAGAGCTGAGAGACAAGATTGTTATCTTCTGTGGACCAGAGGACATCTGAAGTGGTGGTGAAGTAGTGCAGGATTTTATTCACCAGTGAATGGCATCCTGGAGTTGATGGACCTGATGGGAGACATGGAAGTGGCATCTCCTTTAACACAAGTATGACGTTTCTGCAGACAAAGGGCAATCTACAGTACTGTAACTTGTACACTATTCAACACTGCTCCTGAAGTGTAAATAGTGGAGCAGGATAGTACAAGACCACACATGTTCTACGATGGCATGATTAAAGGAAAACAATGTTGAGATCTTATTGCCATCAGCTTTTTCTCTTGATCCTTTGTCAAAAGGTGTCAACAGGAGTCGAATGTGAATGGCCAGTAAACTACATTTCTAACATACTGTACTTTGACAAAATAAATCTTGCTTTACAATTAAAAGCATGTATCCTGATATTTGACAGCTTAACTTCAGTTGTATTTACCGCTCAGATTTTAAGGTACTTGAGATTTTATGTGGTATCCTATTAAAATTGCAAAATAATCATTAATGTTAATATAATGGATTGAGCAGCAGCATAACATTGGAGAGAATACAAGATGTTTACTCCGTAGCTGTTGTCACCCATCAAAATTAAGCTAAAAGAAGCAGCAGGGTTTTGACACACAAAGGCACACCAAGAACAGAATTTGGCTACTAAATGATATTAATTATAAAAAATTAACCCTTTAAAGATATAAAATCGAATAACTTGCTAGTATAAATAATAGCCTTAAAATAATGTTTTAATACATTTACTGACGTTATTATATCCAGTTCATGGGTCTTAAACTCTGTTCCTGGAGGACCTTATGTCTTCTGCTCCTTGTTCCAATTTGACATGTCAATTAATTAATCTATTA